GAAGGCAGAGGAGGTGGAAAGGGCAGGGGTCAGAGTTGGGGTTCACAGGTAGTGTTGCTGCTGCTGACCCCAAGGTCCAGAGAGTGGCTAGTCAGCTATGATCAGGGGCCAGAACCACAGAGAACATTTCTCAGCCGAAACCCTCAAGTCCCACTGACAAGTTCTCTGTACTATAGTGGTCCTTGGGAATGAGCCAGCCTGGGAATCACCAGGCTCATGCTATATTCGACACTGTGCTAATAAAATGTGCTTTTAAAATTTAATCCAACTCCTGGAATGGTGGCCACACCCAAAAACCCAGCAACTGGGGAGGCTGAGGAAGGAGGATCACAAATTCAAGGTCAGCCTGGGCAAGTTAGTGAGACCCTGTCCCAACATAAAATATAAAGACTATGGATATAGCTCAGTGGCAGAGCACTTGCCTAACACGCATGAGGCCCTGGGTGCCATCCCCACTACTGAGAAAAAAAAAAAAAAAAGAAGAAAGAAACAAAGGAAGAAAGGAATTTAACCCAAGAGCTACTATTGTCAGTGGGAATCTGAGGCTGAGAGGCATGCCTGAGGCCTCCTGTCAGGAGTCCTTGGACCCAGGCCCTCTGGCCGCAGGGCTCTCTGTCCCCAGCCCTGTAGTGGGGCAGGGTCCTTACCGGTGCTGCGTCTCGGGTCGATAGAAGTAGTCCACTGGGGTGTCCAGGCGGGAGAAGATGGGTGGGGGGATGTAGAGCGGCAGCTCTTGGTGGAAGAACACCTCCTTCTCGGGCCTGAGCAGGAGCACTTTGTCATACATCGACATGTGCCTACCGCTGGCTTCCGTGTGCACGGCCAAGTACTGGAAGTCAGACATTCCTAGAAAGAGAAGAGGACAGATGGCAGACACCATGGCCAGGGACACTCACCTAGGACCTGGCAGCTGCCACACAACACCCTTATCCCCCCAGGGAGGATGGAGGTGGGAGATAAAGCAGCATCCTCCCACACTCCCCGCACTCTGAATCACTGCCTGTAAAAGCGACTGGGGTGGGGGGCAGGGTGGTGCTTCTTAACTTGTGGAAGAAACACCTGGGACCCACCTTCTACCAAGTTCGGAGGCTAATGCTGCCAGTCCAGGGCCACTAAGCAGTACAGGCTGGCTCAATTAGAGAGAGAAATGTCAAGTGTGGTATCTCAGGGACCACGAGGAGAGGATGCCCCCTCTCTGAGGAACACGGCTTCCACAGTGTGACTGGCATCCCAGTGCAGCCAAGTGACCCCAGCTCTGCTCTGGTCTCCTCTCCACTTCCCATTTTCCCCTTCAACTTCCCTTTTCCCTCCTCAATCTTTAATACTGGAATCTGTAACTTCTGGCATTTCTAAGGCTTATTGGAAATCTGCCATGCGCCTCCTGTGTGCTGGGCCCAGCCCTTTAATAAGCACCATCTCCAGAATCTTCTCAAGGCCTAAGGAACTCAGGGCTCTGCAGTCCCCTTGAACAGGCAAGGAGGCGGAGACTGAGGGAAGCAAGTCGTCTGCCCAAAGAACCTGGAAGAGCCCAGAGAGGCCCAACTCCAAAGCCTGTGCTCTTTCTTACCCCACCTCCCCAGGCCCCGCTTATGGCCCCTCCAGGGGCTCCCTGTAATTACCAGCCTGACTCCAGAGGGGAGGCAAGAGCAACACCATCAAGACCAAGATGCTGATCCAGAACACTGGGCACAGATTAGGCCTGCCCTCCAGGCTGATCTGGCCCACAAGGTGGCTTCACTAACACTCAGAGAAAGCCAGAGTCCTGGCTTCTCTTAAGAATACAGAAGAGGGCTGGGGATGTGGCTCAAGGCGTAGCGTGCTCGCCTGGCATACGTGTGGCCCGGGTTCGATCCTCAGCACCACATACAAACAAATATGTTGTGTCCGCCAATAACTAAAAAATAAATATTAAAAAAAAAATTCTCTCTCTCTCTCTTAAAAAAAAAAAAAAGAATACAGAAGAGTGGACAGTGACGTGCCCCCAGCCCCCAGGGGAGTGCTGGCTGGAGGAAGGAAGGTAGCCTTCAGGACAGTGCCTGTGCTCTGCTGCTCCACATAGGCCAGCCCCCAGGCTGGGGCACATGCTGGCAGCTGTAACTATGAATATTTCTAAGGCTTGCTGGTAATTTGCAATGTGCATTTCACTGGGCAGATGACCCACATGCCTCCAGAGCAGGCCTGATAACCCAATGCCTCAGAGATGTCAATTACCCTGAAATTTGTAAATGGTAGAAACGACGCCCAGGATCTCCATGTCAAACTCGACCTTGGAGTAGGCCTCCACCCCCGGCACTCCTCTCTGCCGCCTGGTCCTCTTCCTGATCCGGAGCAGCAGGCTGCTGGTACTGAACCTGTTGGCACACACTGGGTGGCAGTATGGGTCCTTGGGTCGGAAGTACAGCTCCAGCCTCTTGGTGGGGTCTGTATAGATCTGCAGTGAGGGGAGGGAGACAGGGAAGCAGAGGGCAGCTGAGCAGCCAGTGGGAAGCTGCCCCTCCCAAACCTGTTGGTGACTGAGGAAGGTCAGGAGGCTCATGTTCCATGATGCGCTCTTAGTTCCAAAAGGCTCATTTTCTAAACCCAAGCAGCTCAATCTCTTATCTAGTAGAGAAAAGAAGGGTAAATAGTCTCCCTCCTTCTAAGGGCTTATAAAGATAACAACTTCCAATTAATAAAAGCCACCATCTATCAAGTGCCTCTTCAGTGGGGGCATAATGTGACTCTTCTGGCAACATGATCACCCTTGTTTGCCTTTGAGGTAACAAAGGCTTATGGGGTTGGGCGATTTGTCAACACTACCTACTCCAGGAACCATGCACCCTGCCAGAACTGATTACGGTTTTCAGTCTCATATGCAAATATGTCTAGGTCCAAAGAAGATTAAATTAGTACTTGTCTCTGAGGAGCAGTCACCTACAACTTTCAAAGCAAACCTTAAGAATAGTACCCACCTTCCAGGAGTATTACAATAATTAAATTAATTAGGTGTAAAGCACTCCTCCTCATGCCTACCTCAGGGTAAACACTGTAATTTAAGTCTGAATGAGAGTTTGCCCCATACTGGGAAAGAGGACCTCAGTGTGCCTTTGGAAGCAAGGGATGAGACCATCTGCAAGCTGGCCTGCTGGCTGCTCAGCACCCCAGACAGGGTGTGGCCCTCAGGAAATGCTCAGGAACTCTCTAAGAACAATGGTTACAAGAGCCTCAATCCTTGGGAATCCCGTTCTCATAAAACACATTTCTCTGAGTCCTGATGGAGTGGAAATGAATGCAGACGTGGGCCTGAATAGAGGTGGTGCTCAAGAAATATGAGTAGAACTGATGTCTGATGAAGGGGTGCACTTCCCAATGGGCTCACACGTGGTTTAGAGTCAGACACACAGGAGTTAAGTCCTTGTTGTGTCATTCAAGAGATACTGAACCTAACCTTTCTCACCTGCCTTTAAGAAATAGGAATTAAAACATAGTATCTAACTCATTAGAGTGTTATGAAATTCAGTCATACATTTGACAAAAATTAAGAAGAATCAGGCACTCATAAATATTAGGAGTACAGAAGTCAAGGAGAGAGGTTCCTGCTCTTAGGGAGTTTACAGCCTCAGTGCCAAGGAGCTGAGACAGACAATAAATGTCAAAACAAAATTTCAGACTGGAATTAAAGTTATAGTGTTCAGAGAAAACCTCTCTAAAGAACAGACATTTCAAGATGTAGTTCATGTAAAGAATACAGAGAGCCTCATTCCCAACTGCCCCACTTGCTGTGTGACCCTGAATAAACTATATCAGTCCCTTGTAAAATGCAGCCACTAGCCAGGCACAGCGCTGGATGTCTTCACCTGGAAGCTACCAGGTATATGGTATGTTTGCTACTGGAAGGTTAAGGCAGGATGGAAAGGTGAGGCCAGCCTGGGCAATTTAGTAGAAACTCTGTTCAAAACAAAAATTTTAAAGGGCTGGGGATGTAACTCAGTGATAGAATGCTTGCTTGTCTACCATGCCTGAGGTCTTGGGTTCAACCCCCAGTACCACCAAAACCACAAATAAATAAATAAATAAATAAAGCGCAGGTCCGACCCTACACCCTCGTAGGCTCTACGGTGGGTGGAATTTAATTAAAGTAGCAGAACGTGCCTGGCACAGACTATGAGGTCAGCTCATGCACCTCTAAGCCCAGGGACGGGCAGGCAGGTAGGCAATTCTTAATCCGGGGCTGGGGGGGGGGGGGGGGCCTTGCTCTCTACTCCGAGCAAAAGGACCAGGCGGCTCAGCACACGCCGCGGGGAGGCGGCTTGGTCACGTTCGCGGCGCGGATGCCGAGGGTGCTGTTCATGCCCGGAGACGGGATGGAAGAGGGCCCAGGACCCCTCCTAGATCCTCCCCACAGCGTCCCTTGGGTGCTGAGCGCGCCCAGGGCCCGCGTCTACGAAAACCCGCCCACTGGCCGCAGGCCCCGCCTCCGTTGCCAGGGAAACCACATTTCCCATCGAGGCCCCGCCCCTTCAGCCACTGTCTCTCGACTCGGTCCCTCCCCCGCTGTTCAGAAGAGTCCCCGCTCATACTCGGGAGACGCCTTCCTCGCCGCCCAGAGTCGGTAGCATCTTGGCCACGTCGCGCACCACGCCCGGGTACTCCACGCACACCAAGCGCCGCTCCCGCCGCAGATCCACAGGGACCGCGGCCCTCGGCCCCACATCAGTCTTCTCCGCCGCCATCCTTGCACGCCTAGGCGGACCCGCCACGGTCCGTCCCTCAAAACGCTCCCAGAGGCCTCGCCTCAATGGTTCCGTGAAGAAATCATTCCGGCCTCCCTCGCCTATCGCGTATCCTTAAAGCCTCAGGTTCAGAAAGGCTCCAAGGCCTCAGGCAGCAAACGCCCCGGGCTAACCGCGGAGACTTTGGAGTGAACCACAGCAGCGTCTTGGACTTTTTGTTTAAAACGAAGAGGGCTGGTCCGAGGGGCGGGGCCGGGGCTCGTCTCTCCCACCAGCTAGCCCGGGACCCGGAGGATTTTAAGACACCACCCTCGACTTTAGCCAATGAGAAGCCGGGGGCTAAACTGAGATCTTAGCCAATGAGGAGTCCGGAAGAAGTCAGTTTCCGCCCCTTCCTCGCTCCGGTATTAGCCAATACGGAACCAGGACTTGCTCTCTTCCGCAGATCCCACCCAGTAAGGGCTTGGGGGCGGGCCTTGGGCTTCTCGCACGCCCCCTGCTGTGGAGAAGAGTCGCCGCGGGCAGTGTTCGAGCCGATCCCGAGTCCGCCGGGCGTCGTGGAGTGGCGCTCGCCTCATCTCCCGCACGCAGATCCCGAGCTCTGGGCAGGGCGCTGGCGTCCTCTTACTAGACTGCTAAGCCCCTGCCGTGTGCTGGCACGCTTCCGACCCGGCGGGGAAGATGGGCGAGACTCCGGCTGGCGCGGGGCCCCGAAGCCCAGCGGAGCGGGCCGAAGGGTCGGAGGCCGGACGGCTGGGAGAGGACGTGCCTAGCGACTTGGCCTTTTCGGAGTGAGGCCCGGACCCCGTGAAGGGCTTTCGGCGGGAGCACTATGGCCGTTTTGTATTCAAAAGAACTCTCGTGTGGTGTGGGGAGTGTGTCCGAGGGCGAGAGGGGGTTCGGGCCAGCCAGCCGAGAAGCCGCGGGATCCTGGCGGAGACGCTCAGGCCGGGGGCCAGGGAAGTAGCCCGGGGAGTGGAAAGAAGGGACTAGATTTGAGGATGTCAGGAGAAAAAAATCAAGAAACCCTTTGGGTATGGGCACCCCCGATTTTTGAAATGATTTCTGAATTACTCGTCGTTGTGGATGGATTTAGGAAGGCAGAACAAGGCCGGGCGAGGTGGTACAGCCTGTAATCCCAACAACATTGGGAGACTGAGGCGGGAGGATCGCAAGTTTCAGACCATCCTAGATGACTTAGTGAGACCTTGTCTCCAAATAGAAAGGGCTGGGGGTGTGTCTCAGGGTAGAGTGTCCCTGGGTTCAATCCCCCGGTACGCACAAAAAGGGCTGGGGGAGGAAACTGCAAAGTTTGGGCCACCAAATACATTCCAAAAGGAAAACAGCATGACTCCATGTGCAGTATGTCAGCCGAGAACCTCAGATCTTGGAAGCAGGATCCCCTGTGAGCAAAATGAGAATCAGCCAGCAAAGGGTGATGGGTGAGCCAGAAGAAAACCATGCATTTCAACAGAGCTGCCTACTAGGGTGCAGCAGACCTGGCCTGCCTCTGCAGGGGAGACTTGTGCATTCAGCCACAACAAAAGGGGTTCTGTGTAGTGAAGCCAGGGTTCTCCTCCAGAATTTTCCTGACCTTGAGATAAAATTTTCTTTCAAGCTTCTCATGTCCTTTTTTTCTCATTTGGTGCTCTCCAAACAGTCATATGATGACTTTTTTTTTTTTTTCTAGAAAGGAGAATCTGAATAACATGCATATTTTACCCCTGCTTGCAGTTGTAAATTAACAAATCGGATTTACACCAGACCCCTGTGAGTCTGGTACATATGAGTCAGTCTCAAAGCCTTTGTCACTATCAATAGAGCTGACATAAAATATTGGATGCACATTGATGCAATATTTGTTGTTTTGCAAAATACAGCTCCCCTACCTATGGCTGTGGAAGCAATTGAGTTTCTCATCTTGCAAAGCTGATTCCAAACTACCTGGAACTTTAGTGAGCCTGCTCTTCAATCTGATGGTCCTCTAGTTTTTTTCTGTTTAATCTCCTCTTGGGGAAGCAAGAATGATTTTTCTAGGTTGAAATCTCACTCTGTCCCTGTCGCTAGTGACTCCCCCACAACTTCTCCCTCCCACACCTGGTCAACTTCTCCTCAATCTTTAAGTTTCTGCTTAGACTTCACCTTGACCCTGAAAGTTAGGTTGGCGCTATTTTCTGTGTTTCTGGCACCCAAATGCATCCCATCATGGAACCTGGTCTTGTTTTTTTACTGGCTGTTCTGTTCCACTAAGCAGCAGCTTCCTGAGGGCAGAGACTGTCTGGTTACCCAGTGTCTTCACAGGGTGTGGCACAGAGCAGCTGCTCAGGAAAGGTTTTCTGAATGAGTGGACGAGGTCTGTGGCTCATTCCAACCTAAAATGCAGTCCAGCCCCTGGGTTAGGGGATGGCCACAGGGGTACTCAATCAGGGCTCATCCAGTAGAATAATGTCCCCAAAGTCCACAGGAACCAAGGACAGAATAAAGGATTGAGGGGAAAACAAGGGCCAACCTCAGCATCAGACCAAGCTTCTGGAGGACAGAGAATTGGTCCTGTCTGGGACCCAAGCAGGGAGGTCAGAGAGGCCAAGAAACATTAGGAACCAGGTTAAAGGAGGCACCATGCACACAGGCACCATTTAGTAAATGCTCCCTACTATGTGCTGGACCTTGTGCTTGGCTCAGACAATGCAGCCAAGAGACCACAGACCCTGCCTCCATCCATATTTGATTAGCAGAGACAGCTACCAAATAAAAGGTAGCTCAGTAGTAGAGCACTCCCTTAGCATGTAAGAAGTCCTGGGTTTGATTCCCAGCACCATCCCCAAAGGGAAAAAGAATCCACCTGTCATAATACCAAGTAATGCAGCATTAAGGAAAACCCAGGCCCAGTACATTGCTCTGTTTTTCCTACAGGCCTCAGCCCCCTCCTGCAAACCCAGGAGTTCATACAGTAAGCTCTTAAACAGACTTCTGTGCTGTGGGCTTAGAAGACAAGCACCAAACTAACCTCACAAGGTCAAGATGAAGTCTAAGCTGAAACCTAAAGAATGAGGAGCAGTCAGCCAGGTGAGGGAGGGACACTAAATAGCAGCAGCCTTTGCTTGTTCAGGCTCAGCCCCTCCTTGGCAGCTGGTGCACACTGGTGTGGGAGCGGGTGGGGTGACCTGTTCTGCACCCTCCACCGTAGCCTCAAGCACTAAGGTCATGCCAGACCCAGCCCTTGGCTGTCCTGTGTCCAACTGATGTACTGATCATATACTGACCTGGGGGAGGACAGACTGCTGTTCTGCCCTCACAGTGACCCAGGGCAGTGGAAAGGAACTGGTGGCTGATTGGCAAAGTCGAATCCCACAGGCAAGAGTGGTGGGAAAGCCATCTGGTACTTCTGACCACTGTAATCTCCCCTGTTTGTCTTCTAGCCAGGGCCATGAATGCTGAATGACATCAGGGGACCCCCTTCTATGGTGGTACTGGAATATGTATCCTTTTTTTTTTTTTTTAAAGAAAGAGTGAGAGAGGGAGAGAGAGAAAAAAAATTTTTAATATTCATTTTTTAGTTATCGGCGGACACAACATCTTTGTTTGTATGTGGTGCTGGGGATCGAATCCCGGGGCCACATGCATGCCAGGCGAGCGCGCTACTGCTTGAGCCACATCCCCAGCCCCGAATATGTATCCTTTTGAGGGGGGGTTCTGGGAATGGAATCCAGGGTCTTGCACATGCTAGGCTAGTACTCTACCAATAAGAGACACCCCCACCCCTGGATCCATATTAACCAAGAGGAAAGAGAACTTTTTTCTGTGCTTCTGTAGTATTGGGGTGTCACTCAGGGGACAAGGCTCTAGCATGATAAGGTCCTGAGTTTCATCCCCAGTGATGCAAGAAAATTCCTTTTGGCTTCAGAATCTGCATATTCCTCCTTGAGCTTCTAGGTGAGTCTGTGAAGCACACAGTGGGTGCTTTATATTCCCTAGCCCCACTTGACTTGCTGCACCCTGGACTGGAGCAAAGACCTAGGTTTGGTGTTGGCCACCAGAGGGCCACAGAGTGTCCTTGTGGGTAACACAGCCATCTGGTGGTCACAGGTACTCATGACACCCTGGGAGAAAAGGCCAAGTGGCTGGCTGGGCATACTGGGGCCAGAGGCCTAGGTACCTGGCAACTCATGGAAGGTTTGCCCTGGACGTAGTCAGCATCCTTCTCTTGAGGAGGTGAGATCCTGCACACTTACTTACACCCAAGCCAGGGCCAGGAATTGTCCCACACAGTCCCATCACTGGGTGACAGGTGACAGGGACCTGGGGATGAGTCTGTACAGAAGTTTCAGTTTTCTTTTACTTCCAAATGGGACAGATTATTCCAAAGGACATTCTCCTCCCCCATCAACTTGTATTCCAAAGCAAAATTAAACCAAATATACATAGGACTGAATTTCGAAATTTGTTCATAAATAGAGATTATGTTAAATATTTTTTAAATGTCCCTGATAGAGGCAAATTTACAATGAAACTAATAAAATTGAAGGACCAAGGCACATCAATTGTATGTGCCTTTTTCAAAGGCCCTGGGAGGTTCCTGTAAGGAGATGTTTCTATGCAGGCTGAAATAATAAGTCATCTTAGCTGCAGTGGTAAACCAGCTGTACCTGTCCCATCTAGCCAGTGGTCCATCTGGCTGGTCCTCCATCTCACTTCCGCCTGTTTTGGGAGATCCAGGCACTCAGGTGTGGGGGCCTTGGCTAAGGGGAAGCTCACTTATGAACACGTTTAGTTGAAGTGGAGTGGAATACAGGGGCGTGGTTTGCAGTCCTGGGGTGAGGTGTCGCTCAGTGGTAGAGGCCCCCTTAGGTTGTGTGAGGCCCTGGGTTAAGCTGTTGCTGGTCATCATGTAGCAATGGCTTCGGGGGATGCACACTCCTTCACCTTCTGCGACAACTCACTGATGCTGTGACATGAAAGGCCAAGGCAGGATAGTGCTCAGAGCTATAATCCGGATGGTGGGCAATTGCACCCCCTGGTAGACGTGCACAACTGGAAAGGGTGGAAAACTGTGGCAGCTCCTCAAATCAGTTAAAATAAGATTGCCCCCGGATACTGAGGCTGGACCCCTGCACACCCACGCCCATAGTGGCAGCAGTCCCTGCAGCCAGGAGGAGCCGCCCACGTCCCCGTTCCGGATGGGGGAGTAGGGACCAAGTGTGGTGCAGCCCCGAGGTGGGGTATTACTCAGCCTGAAGAAGGAAGGAGATTCTGACACCGGCTGCCACACAGATGGAACTTGAGGACAGTGCACTCAGTGAATAAGCAGCCATGAAGGGGCGAGAGGGCACAGTGCCACTTAAAGAGGCCTGGAAACCAGGAGCCAAAGTAAAATTGTCTTTTAAGTAGTTTTCACAGGTATTTTGTCCCTCTTCAAAGCCCCACATGTTAAAGGCTGGGTCCCCAGCTTGGCCCTGTGGTAAAGGAGTGGGAGCTCTTCAGGGTGGGGGACACAACCTTGAAGGGTAGCGGGACCCCAGCCCTTCCTCTCCTCTTTCAGTCCCTAGCCATCAGGTGAGCATTTTGCTCCACCTGGCACTTCTGCCATGGGGCACTGCCCCTCCCCCCAAAACAACATGTCCTCTTGACCATAGGTTGGAGCCTGCGAAACTATGAGCCAAAGTACACCTGCATGAGAGGGCCTTGTGTCCGTGGTGGGGCTGACCAGCACGCCTGGCCCAGCATTAGCAACAGTTTTGGAAGCTGCCAAGTTCTTTACTAGCAGTAACAAAGAACAAAACTTGATCAGCCACACCAAGAACTCCATCCTCTCTGGAGAAATCACAGAGGCGAGCAGAGAATGCAGCCCAAAAACCTAGCCAAAAAGTAAGGACAACCAACACTTCATTAATATAGATAGCACTTTATCTGGGTTTTGCTGCTTTATAGAATTGAAAATTTGTTTTAATTTTCAATTATCTATTTTATTCACACCTAATTTTGATTCTTTTGGGAGGGAATGCTGGGGGCAAACCTGGGGGCCTCATGGCTGCTGGGCAAGTGCTCTGCCATTGAGCTGTGCCCCAGCTCTGTTTTGTTTTTTGGTACCAGGGATTGAACTTAGGAGCACTTAACCACTGAGCCACATCCCCAGCCTCTATTATATTTTATTTTGAGACAAGGTCTCTCTAAGTTGCTTAGGACCTTTTTAAGTTGCTGAGGCTGGCTTTGAACTTGTGATCCTCCTGCCTTAGCTTCCCAAGCCTCAGGGCCAGCCTTGGTTTTGTAGACCTAATTCTGAATGCTTTGGCTTGGAAAAGACACTAAATGATATAAGCTTAAGTTCTGCAATTGCCTGGAAGAGGCACAAAAATATGTGTGTCAAGTGAGTACAGCCACAGTCACACAGTGACACCTGGGTCAACAGACCAACCTCCCATGGTGGCTCCATGAGATCCTGTCACGGGGGAGGTTGCAGCAGTCTGAGTTTGTGCAAATACACTCTGATGTCTGCGTGGGACAAAATGGCCCAACGACCCATTTCTCAGAACATTTCCAGGTCCTCTACAACACTGGACTGCATGTGAGTGGTGGTGGCTACCCCTCCCGGAAGCCTCTCCACATTCACACCCTCCAACTCTCCTGCCCTGACTCCATGTTTCTCCCACTCCCACCCTGATGCATATTGGTGGCATCTCTTTTTTAGAGAAAAGGGAAAAGAAAAAACCTTTGGGGCTGAGGACAGTGGTAAAGCACTTGTCTAGCATGTGCAAGGGGGTTCCATTCCCAGCACTACAAAACTCATACACACACAGACTTTTTAATTGAAATATAACCAAAAGCATGTTGTCTTAGTCCATTTTCTGTTGCTAGAATGGAAGGCCCCCAGATTGGGTAATTTATAAAGAATAGAGGTTTACTCAGCTAGGGTTCTGGAGACCCGGAGGTCCTGTGTGAAGGGGCTGCTTCTGGCCAGGACGTCTTGCTGGGGGCCAGGGCTCTGTCTGCAGTGCTTCCAGCTGCCAATGGTGGAGCTGGGGTGTCCAGCAACAGGGAGGAGAGAATGGTCACTGGCCCCATGCCCTGCTGACTGACCCTCAGACAGGAGGAGAGACAACAGAGGCATGCTGCTATCTTAAGCAACTCTCTTTGGGGTCCATTTGTTTTGTAGCCTATGTGAACAGAGCTTGCGGTTCCTGGTTCTGCACCACTATGGACCCAGCTGCTAGAACGCTGCCCTGCAAGTCATTCCTGCTGCCGTGAGCCAGATGCCGGGCATGGAGAAGCTGGGTCACCTGGAGAGCGAGTGCTGACCTGAGGGGAGACTGAGGCCCTGTTTTCCATGAGCCTGTGCCATCTTACACTTCCGCTAGCCGCACTTGAGAGTCCAGCTACACTTGGTGTTCAGTCACTTCTCATTACCTTACCACTGAGTGGCAGTTCTGTTCCTATGTCTTAAGTTTGCATTTCTTTCCTCCCTAGAGATATTGAGCAGGCAGGTGCAGTGCCCCACACCTGTAATTCCAGCTGCTCAAGAAGCTCAGGCAGGAGGACTACAATTTCTGGGCAACTTTGAGACCCTGTCTCAAAGATTAAAAAGAGTGGGGATATGTGGCTTAGTGGTAGCACTGGCCTAGCATACATTCAGTACTGGGTTCAATCCCCCAGTACTGAAAAAAAAAGTTTTAATTGTGCAATAGTATTATAGTTGCAAAAGATTTGTTTTGTTAGTGTTTTCACAGTATATGAAATACTTTTATATTTTCACAGTATATACATTTTTCATCTTTCCACTTTAAATCTTTCCTATCCTTATATTCTTATAAGCAGCATGTAATATTGTTTTTCCTTCCTGTTTAATATTCTTTGTCTTTTAGTTGGAATATTTGGTCTTTTTACATCTACTGTAATATTGATGGATTTGGATTTAAATCGTTCATATTACTATTTGTTTTCCTATCTATCCTCTGTCCTTTTCCTTCCTGTTTCTTACCTCCTTTTATACTAATCATATTTTATTGCTTTATTTTACCTCTAACAAAAAGTTGCATCAACTTTTACTGGTCACCCTAGAGATTATAATATGAATCCTTGGTCTAATACTGTAGAGTCAAATACTGTACAAACTAGTACTTTGCCACTTCCATGATGTTGTAAAGACACATTTAGATGCCTCCTGCCTTTGGAGCTATTGTTATCATGTCATGTATGTATTAGTGTGTAAATATTTTTGAATCAACTTTATTGAGGTATAATTTACATGCAACACAACAGGCACAGTTTAAGTGTATAGTTTGATCAGTTTACAAATATATCAATGAAGTTACCATGTCAATCATGATACAGAATATTTCAATCACCCCAAAACATTCTCTTGTTTCTTTGTAGTGAGTCACTTCATCAACCAAGCAGGGGAAACAGGGCTCTAGGGGATCAGTGGGTCCTCTGCATCACTAACCAAACCCTAAAACTCCTAGCATGGGCCAGAACTTGACAGCTGAGGCTGGGTTATGGGACCGTCTGCCAGAGGTGACTGAGGAAGCACCTGAGCCCAGGACTCACCCACAGGGGCCATGCTGGGAGGTGCTCTCCCTCCACGGTTACCTACAAGGGGAATTTCCCCAACGGTGGGTACAGGGGGTCCTGGATAGTCAAAGAGAAAAAAGGTAAAAGATGCTCAAACTGAAATCCTCCTGTATCCTCCCAAACCTCTATTTTTTTTTTACATTTTTATTTGAACATTATAGTTATACACAATAGTGGGATCTTTATCATATATTTTACATGTAATTTGGTCATTTTCATTCTCCAGAACCTCCCCTTCTTCCCAGACCTCTTTCTCCTGACCTCCTGCTCCAGGGATTCCTTATTCTCCCCTCACCCACCCCCTTGGAACAACAGCTCCGGAAACCTGGGTGTCAGCTGCCCCCACCCCAGCATCCTCCACTGCCAAAGGCATCAGGGACCTTTCTCCTGCCATCCTTTCCTCCCTCTCAGCTCTACCACCGTGGACTGCCTCCTACCGCCCTCCCACATTCACCTGGGGACAGGTAACCACACAAAAGTGATTCAAAATTCAAAAGACACCAAAAGGTACTCAGCAAATGTCTCCCTCCTGCCCCCCCCCAGACTCTGAGACCTTCTTTTCTCTGGAGTGACTGACATGAGCAGTTTCTTGCTTCTCTCTCTGGAGATCAGCTACACAGCTATAAGCAAAACTGTACCTAGATTCCCTTCCCCTTTGAAAAAGTGAGCGGGTTTTATTATTCTCTTTGTCCTAACAGTGGCACTTACTGGCTTCCCTTGAGGTTATAACAGACTCTCTGATCTATTAAAGTCAACAATCAATCAGCTGACCGCAAATGAAAGCTCAGCGTGCACACCCTCCCCGCCTTCCCTTTTCCTTGGCAAGGCAGCATGGAAATTACTCCATATCCATTCACCCGGCACTTCCTCATTTCTCCCACAGACCCACACTGTGCCCCTGTCTGCTGGACCTCCATTTCCTCAGCCAGCCCTCTCCGATGGGCACTTAGGTTATTTCCAGGCTTTATCCAGGGCAAACACTGCTGCGATGAATGGCTGCGTGTCCTCTCACACACAGGCTGGCTATCTGTGGGACTGTGTCAGGTCAAAGACTGTGTGCTCCTGTGATTTGGTTACACCTTACTACATTTCCTCATTGGGGTCACAGGAGCCTCTGAGGCATGAAGCCATCCTCCAGCAGTGACCCAGAGCTGAAGGTGCTGGTGTGTGTGTGTAGGGGGCTCCCTAGGACCCTGAGCAGTTCCTTCCTGAGGGGCTGTGGGACTCCCCTCTAGCAACCCCCAGAGCCATAGGTTTTTGTGCTTCATTCACCTTCAGGATTGCCCTCCCCACAAAATCAGAGGGATTCTCTTCCCAAAACTCAAATCTTGATTCCTCACTGACCTGCCTGAGACCAGCTGTGACTCCCTATGGCTCTGGGGTGGAACCCAAACCTTCAACAGACTCTAGGGATCTGCTCTTTCCATCTCCTCCCAGCCTCATCAGTTTCACCCTCTACCCCCAGTTCCTGACCCTGCAGCTCCAGGCCCTCCCAGGACCTCTTCAAAATGCTGGAAAGGTTCACCTGGAAAGGTGTTCATAGCCAGAATTTTGAAGAGGTCTCTCCCTGCAACACACCGGCTGCCCTCTACCCCTGGACGGATGGTTTGTCGGGTTGGTCTCTTTGGCGGGCATCTCCTGGAGCCGGGCCCAGACTTGACCCGCAGCGATGCTGGTTGATGCGCAGCCAACGCACCAGGACCGCACTCGTGGGCAGCCCCAGCGCGGCCACTAGGGGGCGCCGTCTCCCTCGGCTCCGACTGTCCTGGCACCCGGGAGAGACCCGCCACGCTGGAGCGCCGCGGGGACCTGCGGGTCACGCGAGGAAGGGTGAATGACCGCATCATCAGATGCAGGCCGCCCACCCGCGGACTGGGACAGGGGAGGGAGAAAAGGAAAGGAGGTGGGAGGGATGCAGGACCAGGAGGAGGCAGAGAGGGAAGGACTGGGGCAGGGCTGCCCTTCTGCTCACCCCTTGCGTGCAGCCTGCCCAGCCACACTGCAAGACCTTGCTGCGCAGTCCCGGGGTCCCAGGCGGAGAAAGGCCAAGGGGCCAGCCCCCAATTCTAGTTTCCTGGAGTGCTGGGCAGTGGTCCTTTGAAGTTCAGTCCAAATTTGGCCAAGGCTGTGCCTCAGTTTCCCCATCAGGGATAAACGGCTCCTGCCACTCACTGAGGGAAGAGCTGAGCCAGCAGTAGGCTCACAGCAAGGACCCGGGGGAGGGGGGGCATGGTGCCACTGGGCCCGCTTCCAGGATGCTGAGCTCAGGCCAAGGCAGAGCACTTCCCACACACGGGGCCTCCTCCAGGGAGGCTCTGGGCTGGGTCCCTGGCATCCTCCCCCCATGGCCGAGGAGACAGCTCCTAACCAGGTCCACGAGCCCAAGAGGGACCTGCAGTGGTTCTGAACTCCAGCTCATATCCCAAGCAAGACACCAGGAAGTCCCACCTGCACAGGCAACTCCAACTTTGACCCAGCCTCGGGTCCCTTTGGGAGGGAGACCCATGTGTCCATCGCCCACTGTAAAGTATTTCTTACTGGATACTGGGGAGACAGGGGGGACCTTTGTAGAATGAGTTCGCACAGCTGCTTAATGACCGTTATGACCAGCATCGGAGGAAGATGCCTGCGGGCTGTGAGAGTCTGCAAAGGGGAACGGAGGCTTCTGTGGGGTGCAGGTGTGTTGGGACTGGAGTACAGAAAGAGAAGAACTGGGGACACTGCCCCCAGGCAGAGGGAACAACACTCTAGGGGGCTCGGAGGGAGGCAAAGCCAGCCTGGGAGGACCCTGGTGTTCTGGCACTGCTGCCTGGCGGGCGCTGGCTCACCCCTAGAGAGAGGAGGCTCTCCTGCAGCACTCCCACAGCCTGCTCCCACCCCAGCAGGGCTCCCTGAATGTTGGCTATGGGTCCCGGGGCCATGGCTTGCCCTGTCACCTGGACTGTGAGCTGTTGGGGGCTGGGATATGGTCCTCAAGCCTTGATTCAGCACAGACCGAGGGCACACCATGCCCACTGGCTTTGTTCTTCCTTTTGTAGTGTGGCGTTGTTGTGTGCCTGCTGAAACACGATGACGAACTTTGCCATCTCAGGCCTTTCCTAGTATCATCTATGGCATTAAGTACAGTCACGTGGTTCTACAGCCATCACACCCTCGACCTGTAGAACGCTCTCCTCCAGTGAGGCTGAAGCCCTGTCCCCATTAAACCCTAACTCCGCACACCCACCCTCGCCCCACCAGCCAGCCCCTTGGCAACTACGATTCTGTCCCCTGAACCTAACTGCTAAGGGACCGCATAGAGGCGGGGTCCTGTGGTCTTTTCTGTTTGGCTTATTTCACTTAGCACAATTTCGTCAAGGTTTTTCCATGTCCTGGCAGATGTCAGAATACCCTTCTTTCTAAGGCTGAATTACATCCCATCCTATGGATGGACCCCTTGTGGGGATGTGGGTAGCTGCCACCTCCTGGTCACTGTAAACAGTGCCACCTGCTGCCCATCAGCTTTCCCAGCCTCTGGTTCATACCTTGGCCCACTACACACGCAATGAGCAATTTGGTTTTTGTTTTATTTTGTTTTTGCGATGCCAGGGATCAAGCCCAGGGCCTCTCACACATGTGCTGGGCCAGTGTCCTAGCACTGAGCTACACCCCCAGCTGAGCAGTTGGTGTTTTGCAAAATTCTGGAGTTTCTTAACCACTCTCTTCTTTCTACACCTCAGGGACCAAAGCCCAGTGGGAGAAAGGGACCTGTCGAGGTCATGACAGGAGGGCTTACATATGTATCAGGCCCCCAACCAACACTAGCACCTTAGTGGTTTCTGTTCCACCCCTGTGGTCCTGCTGTGTTCTGGAGGAAATGACCTGGACCCGCTTCCACAGATAATAAGTCTTTAAATGGCTGGAGCTGGGCGTAATGGCGCATGCCTGTAATCCCAGCAACTCGAGAGGCTAAGGCAGGAGATCTCAAGCTCAAGGCCAGCCTCAGCAACTTAGTGAGACTGGCTCAAAATAAAAAAATAAAAGGGGCTGGGGATGTAGCTCAGTGGCAGAGCACCCAAAAAATCCCCAGCATCAAAAAATAAATAAATAAATAAAGTTCACTGGACCATCGAACCCTTATACCAAGCACTGTTCAGGCCTCGACCCAAACTGGCCCCAAGCTAGGATATGTAGACCAGAGCCTGGGGTGTTACCTGCTGGCCAAGGTCCTCCCCCAGGGCAGCCCGCTGCCACCGTCCTCCTCACTCTGATTTCACAGCCAGCTGAGCAGACAGGGTGATCAGGGAATGGCTGCTTAGGGTGACTTCCAGCTCCACTTCCTGCCTGTCACTCAGCCTTCTCCACTGGCAGAAGGAGAAGCCCTAGGTCCCAGCTCCCCCCAGCCTCCACCCAGGACCAGAGGGTCTCCTGCATCCAAGGCACCCTGCAGGGGAGGTCTGCAAACCTGCCTCCTTCCCCAACACCAAGAGCCAGGATTGCCCCAGAAAGGTCTTGGGGCTGACATTGCTGACCCCTTATGTGTTTCTGGTCTTGCAGGCCAAGGTTGACGAGTGTCATGGCCAGGACCCCAGCCAGGCCTCCCCAGAGGAAGCTAGGCCTTGGAATGGCATTCCTGGCTCCCCGCTCCTTTGCAGGCCAGGCACCTCACTTCCCCAACACAGGCTGCTGGGCTGCCCCGAGCCTGCGCAGCTTGGCCCTGTGGGGAGCACGGTTGCAGGCTGAGCTGCAAAGGGGGACACACACCCTGGG